TATTAAGCACAAGAACTACAAAACTTCAGGGTTTCATATTTCAAAATAAAAGCTTCAAAGATTGATGCTGGGTGTCAAACTTAAGGCCCTCACCTTCACATTTGAAGTTTACAGGGATAGCTTGAGTTTACTTTGTCAGACCAATGAACATAATGACAGCAATTCAACTAAAAATATAATCAGGAAAGACATTTCTTTTTAGACACCTGCTTTTTGCTCTTTCCTTTAATTTCCCCACTTAAATTCAGGGTTTAAGAAAAGCAGCTTCACTATATGTGGTTTCTGCCAGTGGGGATGTGTAAAATGGGTCTCTCTATCATTGGAGAAATAATATGTACTGGTTGTCCAGTTGTCATACGTACACTCAGATGAGGGTGTTTAAAAAAAATAACTTTGGAAGGGATTTTAGAGGATCTGTTACCAAAAGCTGCAATTTGCAGCTTTTAAGTCTTGGTTTTTACCTCAACCCTAACCAAGTGTGAAAAAAATTAAAATAAATTAATAAAACAAAAAATTGTGTTGCTTTCGATTATCCTAAATTAAATTTTTTAATACATAGATGATATGCATAAAAAAAACCCCCTGCTAATTCAAATAAATAAATTTACAAATAAATAAAGTTGGGTTTAAATGTCAGCATCAGAGGCTGGGAATGGGGAAAAACAACTGCATGTTTTGTAGAGTTTATTTAAAAAAAAAAAAAGGAAATGGTCCTAGGACTGCATTTTTATTTGCTTCCAAATAAAAATAAAAACAAAAATAAAAACATTGTGTTCCCTTGTCAAGGTCCATCAAACTGCTCAGTATTTTCAGCATCGCTGTTAAAATGCTTTGCTGAAGAAAAGTATCAGCTCTAAATGCCTCACATGAACATCACAGCCCACTGCCTTCCATTTACATACTGTGACGGTGATTAAAGTTAAACAGTAAGTTCACCACAGGGTTCGCTCAGACCTCACCGGGTGTTGTCATAGAGACTCAAGCTCCCCGTTAAAAATGATGATGCTTGTTTTTGTAAAGAATTTAAGGTGTGAGTTGAGAACATGCTCCAGGGAAGAGGGGTGCTATGCAATGAGGATGATGAAGGCTGGCAGACAAGAAAGTAAGACCCCTAAGTAGTGACCTCTTTTTGAAACTTAGTAGCTTTCATGCAGAGCTGAGACAGCAAAAAAAATAAAAAATAAAAAAAAAATAGTTTGACCTCACTTCAGCTTCCTGTTTTTACTCGTGGGGATTTTTGTTCTAGATAAAAATAATAATTTAGGCTCATGTATTTGGTAGTCAAGAAAATATGACATAACTTAGCACTATTTATCCTATCAAAGTTAAACAGTAATTCTTGCTTCTTACCAGAATATTTTCACAGTACTGAATGTTTGACTTATGCTATTATTATTATTGTTAATTTACTATTATTAATACTTTTAAAAAAATATATTATAAATCAGTTTACATCCACCTCAAATTCACATAAATTATTTAATTTGCCTTGCAAAATTAATATATATCCTGAACTTTTTAAAATTTTATTTTTAAGCTAAAACCATAAGTTTTTATTTATATGGCTTGGTTTTCCAGTGATTGAAGAACATGCACACACATACAAAAATAAAAACACAATGTACATGTACATGTTTTTAGCCTCTTTGCTGTGGTATTTCTCAGCAAAATCTGCTGTGATTATTTGCCTTCAGGCATAACCTGAGAAGTTAATACAACAAACCTCTATGTGTAATCGTATCTCATCTGGATCCAGTCTTACTCTGAAGGTCTAAAAAGACTAGAAGAAACTATTGGTGAAACAAACAGTATCATGTGGCCCATCATGGATGACAGGATCAAGGATAAAGTTGTGGAGAGGTTAAAAGCTGGGCCAAGTTTTAAAACATTTCCCCACGCTGTGGACATGAATAGGAAACAGAAGCAACTACGGAGGAGCTAGCAAGAAAACTCTGTTGACAGGACAGCTATTTGTTGTGAACACCCCACTGCAATTTTGGTCTGTGAAGAAGACTGCCAAGCAGAAAACCAGTGCTGCAGGAAAGCCATAAAAAGCCACATGTCCAGTTTCGTAAAACCTATGCAGACAGACAAGACCCAGACACACCACTGCCACACAGTGCAACATGATGGTGGCAGCATCATAATTTTCTTAAGCAAAAAAAGGGCAAGTTGATCATAGTTGATGGTAAAATGCATGGGCAATCCTGGAGGAAAACCCAGTGAGTGTGAAGGACTCAGGACAGAGACTTGCATAACAACAAAACAAGACACTTTCTGGCTAGTCTGGCTGATGGGCTTTGATCCAAAGAGAAATGCAGCTTTCAGCCTGTAGCTATGCAAAACTGTTAGTGACACGTCACATCTAGGCATGCGGGACTGACTTTGCATTCAGATTTTGAATTCAATAAAATTCCATATTGATTCACTACTGTCTGTGTATCACATGAAATCTAGATAAACACATTAAAATCTGTGATTGTAATATGAAATAACAGCTTAAAGGGTGTGAATACTTTCTCCAAAACACACATTTCCTGACGGTGTTATTTCCAGTGACTTAAAACCTGACAAAGACACATCTTTAACAGCTGATGAGTAGGATCCATGTTGACCAGAAAGGTAATACTTTATTAAGACTCTTTAATCCACTCGACTTTTAAAAGGATAGACTAAAGAGAAACTTCAATCTGCTTTATCCCTTTGAGGAAATAAATGAGACCAGAACATTGAATGAAGCCAGATTGTGTTGCAGTGTCACAATTAAAAAAAAAAAAAAAAAAAAGTGTAATTTTTCATTGAAAAACTTTTTTTTTTTTTTTAGATAAATTTTTTGGCACAAAAGCCATGTGCATCTATAAACGTTGCAGTGTGAAGCAATTTAGTGACACCTTTGATGGCTTCTGCACAGCTTGTGCTTTGGAGTGTTTGCTTTAACTCCTTGGAGCACCCTAGAGTCCCCAAGGACCTTGTGGGTGATAATCAGACATTACTGCTCCCTCGCTAAGTTATCTCTTTCACATGGTGGTTCATCATTTATTTATGTGACAGTTGTTATCTGTTATTGCCTTCCTTTCATGTGGCCAAGAATGAGATGTTTTATGGAACAGTAAGCGACCGGCATATCTGGCGGCGCAACACTGATCCCGTTTCTTCGTCTTCCTTTTGAAACCGGTGGCAGTCTCCTAGGTCAGTTAATTGCATGATATTGATATGGGTATTATGGCTGCCGCTGTAGCTAAAATGATTTTGTCGCCATTTCAATATGTGGGATTGTGCTCTTCCTATAAAAAAATGACATTTGAGCCACTTTGTGCAGCCCTCTCTAATGGGGTCTGGAATAAGAATGGTGATATGCGTTGGTGCTGGCAGAGGCACAGGCTGTGTTTTTGTTTATAAATAGCTCCAGCCAGCATTATTCCACTTGCAGTTGTCCCATAATCATCAATCACTCCCGCACGTGGGCCGGCTTCTCTTGCTCGCCAGAGAGAAGGTACACACTGCGAGCGGTGCCCTTGCACCTCCCGACTGCTCAAGCAGAGCGCGGTGAGTGGGACAGAGCTGGGAGTCGGGGGAGAAAGAAGGCGTGGGGAGGGCTGGTTCTCATGTAGTGATGGAGTGAGTTATGACAGCTTTCAGACCCCCTGCGTCCTTTCCTTCAGGTCATTACGTGCTCCAACATCCTCCATTTGACTTCAACACATTTCCACACACACACAACATGCGCACCAACAGAATTTCCTCCTCTGTTTATGCCTGATTAGAAGGCAGATGGGAGGCTAATCGTGTGATGTGCAGGGAGGACGTGGGTTAGGTGTAACTGTTTGCTCGGGCTTCATATGTCTTTGTCTTTCTATCTGCCTCCATCTCTTTCTGGGGAAGAAGGGCTCACTGCTTTGAGGACCCTTCAGGGGGGAGATTCTGATGAGATTTTGTACTCCCCCATCGATGGACAGACTCTATCAGTGCTTTGACATACGTCCTCGGTGCAACTGCAGTAGTTGTACATGTAAGATTCCCATAAAAGCATGTCTTTGATCATCTTTTCCCAGACATTTTGCTGGTGAACACATCACACATGCGTTCTCTTTCCATCTTCACAAAGACTTTGCAATAATTAACCCTAACCCCTAACCCATTTGTTGTTTATTCCCTTCTATTGCCTTACCCTGAACCCTAGAATTAGGGTTATGCCTAAACCTAATCCTAACCTACACACCACATATACATCCTGCTTTTCCAGCTTTACTAGGACTTTGCAATAACTTCAATTCACTGTTAGTCACTTCTATAGCCTTACCATTAACCTAAGCATAACCTTCATCAGAACATAGCTACCCCTAACCCATACACTCAGTCCACACCTTAGATTTAAGCCAAACCCCTAACCCATAAACAGCAGTTCCTCTTTTGGGACCTAGGCTTTGGGCACCAAAAGGAGCAGTGGGTCTTGACAATATTGTACTTCTTGGAAAAATGGGTTGTACAAGGTGAGAAATGCTAAATCACACACATAAACAAGCACACACGCCAGCGTTACCATGGCAAAAATACAGTAAGGATCCAGATGATCCTTAACAAAATGGTTATATAACTATTGCGGTGCCAAGTCCTGTAGCTTCTCTAAGCCTGCGTCTTTATTCCTTTTCAGCCTTGGCTTTATTGCTTTCCAGCTGCACCTTTGTACAAGACGCCACTGAACACACGAGACGTTTGTAAGTAGCAGATAAGCAACTGTTTGCTGACTGTGAAAGCATGTCAGCTTTGTGGTAAACCAAAAAAAAAAAAAAAAGTGAGATCTCATCCCTTTTCACATCCTAATCAAAATCTCTACGCTGCAAGGGAATTTTATACCTAATTAGACCCAGCCCACCTAGAACCGACATATATATATACATTTTTTTCCCCTGTCTACTGCCGGTGTCTTTTCTTTCCCCGCTCCCCTCTAAATCCCTTCCAAAACGCTTTGACACTTGTAAGCTGATTTTGTCGAGCCTCACCTCCCGGAGTTCCTTGGCCACATCCTTGAGCTCCTTGAGAATGCCTTCCAGCTGGTCGATCACCATCTTCATGTGGCTGCGGATGCGTTCTCTCGGGCTGGGGGTCTCAGAGGTGTCCCGGGCCGGAGCTCTGCTGAGGGACATCCTTTACAAAGCAACGTGGGGCCAGTGGCCAACAGGCTGAGGGCGTGGGGGAGCCGAGTCGGGGTCCATGTCTTTGGCTACGAGGAGCCTCAGTGCTACTGATCCGAACAGGGGCCCCGGCCACGCAGGGAGACCTCAACATCTTAAAAGCACCTGGGCAGCCGAAACGCCTTGCCTCGCCTGCACACTTGGCACAGGGTCACGCTCTGAAATCCATGCCTTCTGGCAGACACTTCCCCAGATGAAGAGAAAGTCAGCATGGGAAAAGTTGAAAGGAGTAAATCCATTGAAAAAGGAGAGAGAGGGGGAAAAAACACATGGGCTGAGGCTGGTGTGGAACTCTTACATAACCACGTTGAGCCAACTCATCTCATGTGTCAAGTGTGTATATTTGAAATTGTTCCCAGGGAGGTGCTATTTTTGAAAACACCCGTCTACAAGGGGAGACGACTTTTCCTTTCCTGCACAATCCCGTTCACCTGGTGACATCACCGCAGACCAACATAGAAAAGTAAAAGCAGCGGAGAGGTTCACGTCAATCCTTTTCAACGGTAAGTTTTTACACGGTAGCCTCGATAGAAAAAAATAGAAAATCCCAGCAGTGGCTCAGTTTTCACAATGATCTTTTTTTTCTATTCTCCCAGCTAGCCAGAGGGGACAAGATTTGGCTTCTAAATATAGTCCCCCAGTGAGGGCTGCTGTCTATAAAGAGATAAACAATGGATTCTATTTGGAAAAAGGGGAATATTCCTCTTGCCCCCAGGAAAAAAATAAATACGATTCTCCTTAGAAATCAAAATGAACTTTGTCTTGCATCCATTATCTTCACAGATGGTGGTCTAACCTTTTATCTTTTTTGTCCATGTAAGATCTGAGGTGAAGGACTGTGGGGTTTTTTCCAAGCAGCATCCAATCTCTCTAGCTCCCCTTCCTAAATGCGGAGCTCATTCCAGGTGATGTGGGATCAGAATGAATTGATTTCTAAGCCGGCAGAACGTGACTTGTGATGACAATTTGTGGAGGGATTACAAACGATCATGGTCCCAGTGAGACATATGAACGGGGGGGCCGGAAAGCAAATGAGTACCATCCCCTGGAATCCGGGTGGCACATCGTCTTATGCAACATCACTCTCCAACTCCTCTTCCAAAACACTGACCCACGGCGGTCCACAGGGGTGTGCCCAAAAACCAAGGGAGCAGAAAGAGAGAGAGAGAAAAAAAAGGATTCTCTTGTCTCCTTCAGTTGTTGCTAAGGGAACCCAGTCTGCCTGCTTGTGCTGTGATTGGATAATTATTTTACTTCTTATCCATGTAGTTAGTTTTCTCCACGGAGTCTCTTCAGAGGGGAAGGGATCTCAGTGCCATCCGGCAGCACAGGATAAATCCCATGAAAGCTTCCCGACGGCGCCCCAGTGAACAAACGGGGGGGAGAGACTCTCGCCAAATGCAGGGTGCTGCCACGGCCATGGGGTGCGCTGGCCACCTGCACATGGCACCTGGACGGACGAACAGACAGAGAGGAAATCCGTCACTCACTCTGACACGTCTCACCTGCCTCCCCTCATGTCCCAATGGCACGAAAAACGGTGAGAGACCTGAGGACGGACACAGCGGCGGGAAGGATGCCTTGCAGCTTTCAAAAATACATCTCTTGCATCACCTCCACACACACACACACACACACACACAGGACACACACCTACTCACCTTCCCTGTACATCACTATGCTGTTGCTATGCCTAGAGCCCACTGTCCAGGCACAGCACGGTTACTTAAACTGCGCACAAAGCAGCCGGTTCTTCTGAGGTCCTTCTGTCGCACACAGTCACACTTCTCACCGTCTTGCTGTTCTCTCTTCCTCTCACTGTCTCTCACACAAAACCCACACATTCTCTCTGGTACTCTCTCACACACACTCTCACTCCCTTGCTCTCTCTCTCTCACACACACACAAGCAGAGTTCCTACCCCCCCCCCTTCCTCCCACTACTTACTGTCTTGACAGAGAGAGAAGCTTCTATCAGCAGGGTTATTTCACTCTGAGGTTGTGGCTCATCAGAGGAGGAGTACAAGTGGAGGATGGAGCTGTGGAGGAGGAGGAAGAAGAGGAGGAGGAGGTGGAGGCAGGGGGCATGAGATGGGAACGATGAATGGCCCTGATAGCACTCTGGAAAAAAGGAGAGAGAGAGAGAGAGAGAGGAGGCAAAAGATGACTAAGAGCCGGGGAGGCGAGGAGAACTCCTACTTCGGATTGTGATGCGGCCGCTGCCGTCACTCAGACAGTCGCGCTGCCGTAAAAGCGCTGCCACCCGTCATCCCAGTCAGCGTTCACCCGCATCTGGAGGCTGCACGTTGAGGGGGGGGAAAAAAAAGCAGCGTGTTATTCTTGTGACATCCTCTCCCTCTCAGTGTTTTTGGCCTGTTACTGTGTGTCTGTCTCTCTTCTTCTCTCTCTCCCTCTCTCTCTCCAGCTCCCTCCGTCTCTGTCACTCTTTCTCCTTCCCTGTCTCTCTTGCCCCTGCACCCTCACTGTGTCCTCGCTGACTGCCGGATGAAGAGGAGCTGATGCCAGAGTTTATCGTGGAGCTCAGGCTCCTGCCAGCACCACTCGGCTCCTCGGCTCAGCTCTGTGGAGGAGGGGCTTGCTGCTTTAAAGGCGCAGCGTATCATCCAGCGCCTCCTCTTGCCTCCTCTCCTCTCCGCCACTGTCGACACTTCCTCGCTTCCAGCTTTTGACACTGTTGTGTTGAGGGTGTTATCTCTCTTAAATCAACTTGAAGTCTTCCTCCGCTGCCTGCCAAGCAGCCCCCAGGGACCGAATGTCCAAAGAACCCTGGATGTTACATCATTAATAAACAAAGCAGGTTGGTGTTTGATGACCTCATCTAACTGACAGAAGTAGGTAGGGAGGGAGGAGCGGCATGATTTTTTCTCTCCCTTACCTTCTTCAGTAGGTCCTTAGTCAACAACAACAAAAATACAATCTTGTGCGAGTTCAAAACCAAATTCAAGATTGGGAAGTTTTCACTTTCAAGAGGATGCTGGAACCATAAACAGCCAGAGGGCCTCATACATTCCTGCAACTTTGCAGGAATGTATGAGGAGAGATGCGAATCAGACGTAGGGTCTTTCATGCGGTTCTGTTTGTTCTGGCATTCTCTGGTGGTTTCTGCCATTGGGATCAGAGGCATTACGCTGACGCTGTAAGGCTAATTGGAGGAATACTCTGTGCTAGAGAATAAACTCTTTTGCATCTTTTCTTTGATCAATAAATGATCAAGTTTTACTTTAAAAAAAAAAAAACAGTTCGCATTTTGCATAATTCTTTCATAAGTGTGTCACAACGCAGTGTCATCTTAGGGCTTCATCAAAGTTTTAGCGTCATGTTTTAAAGTGCATTATGGCTCTCGGTGGAGTTGGGGAAACGTATCGCCGTTCGCATTTATACATGGTCCGCGCTTCATTTGCACAAGATGCTTCTCACAATCCACTCGTGTCAAGAGACATTTGTCCTTCTGCATGTTTTCTTCGACAGTTCTTTTTCGCATTCCCACTCCCTTCATGCATGGGAAGCTCAAAATGCCAAACGTTGCAACATGTAGAGAAGCGGTGCCAAACTCCAGTCCTCGTAAACCGGCGTCCCGCACTTTTTAGATGTGTCCCTTGTCCTACACGCCTGAATGAAATGGCTAAACTGCCTCAGTAGCGTACAGTCGAGCTCTGCAGAGCCCGACTAATGAGCCGATTGAATAAATGAAACTTCTACAGGTTGCAGGACCCCGGTCCTGGAGGACTGGAGTTTGACACCACTGATGTAGAGGTTTGTTTGTGACACAAACTTTTAGTTGTGTCACAAAGACATTTAACCTATTATTGCAACTTCAATGTATTTTATTTGATGTAACATGAACAAATCTGAGGAACAATCTGTCTAAAGAAAGTAGATCAATTTTAACTCTTAAGATAATATATATATATATATATATATATATATATATATATATATATATATATATATATATATATATATAATATTAAGGTATAACATAGTATGTGGATGCTGTGAAGTGTATCTTTCAAAGGATAATATGTCGGTTTTTTCCTTGTTAATATATAAACATTGTTTTGTGTTTAAAGATGTATCTTTATGGTTTATGGTTGATTAATGTTTGCTTATGGTATAGTACATTTTTCCCCTCCAACTTCTCGTTTCAAAGTCAAAATTTAGTTTACATCAGCATGTGACATGTTCATTTTAAACCATAAATGAATGAAATAAGCAAACGCGCAAGTAAATAAATAAACAAAAATAAACCTGCTCAAAGCAATCCTCAGTTTAAAAGTGGAACAGAAATATACATAGTTGTCAAAATGTTTCTGAATAACTGAATAAAATCAAAAGTCACCAATTGCAAGATACCTGACGAGTTAAGGAAAACTACAAGTTTTTAATTTAATCGCAGTTTACATCAAGTCCATAAAAGGTAAAAACAACAGCAGACAGATCAGAGACCAAGTTAGGGAGAAGTTTAAAGCAGGGATGGATTAGAAAACACTTTACCAAGCTTTGAACTTCTCACCAAACTGTGTTCAATTCATCATCCAAAAACAGAAAGAGTATGAATCGGCAAACGTATTACATGGCCTGTCCAAGTTGCTAATGTGTGCATGGAAAATATTAATTGTAATTCTTGATGGAGCTGGTGATCAACATCTTGGTTGGGAAAGTAAGTTGACAGGACAGCCTTTGGGTTGTTCTCTCCATAAACCTGGTCTTTGTTGAAAAGCGACACCAACAAAGCGATTATTTGAAACGAATGATGAGCGTTCCTGCTAACATGGGCCACAAGCCACGTAGGGAGCTCAGGGACTGGTCAGTTAAACGTTTCGTATCACATGCAACGCACTTCATGTGGAGAACAATGGACATTGCAAATTACCCAGTACACACCGTCAACACAGTTAAACATGGAGCTGACTGCATCATGCTGTGAAGATAGCTTACCTAAGCAGGGAAAAGGAAACTGGTCACAGTTATGGGAGAATGGATGGATCTAAGTACAGAGCCTAAATAAAGACAGAAATTTAAATCATATATTGGAGGACAAAGAGTACAATAGAACATAAGCCAAAAAATTTAGACGTTGGAAATACAAATCCCCTTGGGGGTTTGCAGCGAGAGCTGGCGTTACAAAGTATTAATTCTTTGGAGCTGAAAACAAATGCAATTTTTACACTTCAGATGTTTATTTGTTTAGCAATTTTGAACCTTTTTTTTATTGCAATAGATTTTATTGGTCGTCACATAAAACACAATGAAATTTGTTTTTTTATAACATGATAAAGTTCAAAATGTATGGATACTTTTGGAAGGCTCTGTGTGTATTGAATCCTCTAAATGTATGGGTGGCTGGCCTTTCTGTGAAAAGTCTGCACTGCTGGTCACCATTAGCTGCAGGGCAGTGATGCCTTTATGGCATAGGAGTGGGAATATTTCCTTCTTGTAAAATACATGTTTCAATGCTTAGGTCATCATGACTTGTGAGATTTACTAGAAATCTCTAGTGACTCAAGCAAAATATTGGTTCCACTTAATATTTCTGCCAGGGATTTATTGTGCCATGTTTATAGAGACACTTTATAGAGTGTATATTTTTTTCCCTTCTCCTTTTTTTTCTAGCTGGGCACAGTCTGATGCATAAACATGGTGATAAACATGCAGGTACAGGCCCACAAACACATAAAGATAAAAGTGGATATTCTTATCCTGACTGGTAATTTGATGTTACAAGAATAAAGCCCCAGGTAAATTTGTATTTCTGTACATTTTCCCCTAGTTGATGCAGCAAATATATTTTTTTCCCCTTCCCATAGCATCTTGTGGAAGTGTACATACATCTTCAATAGTTCCACAATTTATCAGGTTAAACCTTCAAACTATTTTGTATTATATTTCATATAAAGTTCATATAAAGTATTTTATTGGGATTCTATATAAGGGACCAAGAGAAAGTAATGTAAAATGTAAAGTGGAAAATAAATTTTGTTGCTTAGGATGTTTGTTTGTTTTTTCCTGGCAGGTGAACCTTCACCCCAGGCTGATAATGTTCCCTCATTTAGATCAGAGGTCAGCAACCTTTACAACCCCGAGGGTCAATTTCTTGCCTTTGATCCAAACAAAATTTACTTAGAGCCACAAAAGTTACATGAAACA